TGGACTCCGGACAAGGTGCGTTCTTCTAAGTCTTCCTACCAATATGACCAAGTTGCGAAAACAAGGTCAAGCAACTTCTAACAGAATGTGACTAACTTCCGCTGCTCAAGTCATTTGATGTTACTTCACCCTAGGTTGTAAAAGGTGATGAAGGACTAATAATTGAATATTCTTGCAATGATATGACGAGACATTGTGACACCACTGAACTTGCCCCTCAGTCTTGCTTTCCAAAAGTTTTCCTTTTCCAAAGTTTGCTGCAGTTCCGACCTCACCTAGGTCTCATCAGTACCCTTAACGGGAATCGAGCCCGGGGAATGAAGTGCATATCTTCGACATGTCACCACTACGCCACGAGTGCCAGTGGGTAACAGAGCAGACTTCACAGGCGGACCTCATATCACATGTATGGTGGGATTATGGATAAGGCCTAAGCGAGGTAAAAACTGCAGCCCATCCAGAATGAACAATTATTTTATAAGGCAGAGCCATCTGAAATTTCGTTCCATTTCAATGCCTTTTCATAGCATCTTGTGAATTCTCAGCTTTCACACTTTCATTTATAAGTAGTTTATCGAGACTGGTGTCCTTTAGTCACAGAGCAGATGGGAATTTCAAGGAAGGCCAAGTATTCGCCCATATCACATTGTATGATCGGATTGTGGATAAATCAAAGTCATGTTTGCTATAGCGATCGACTACTCCACTTATTATTCGTAAATAAGTAGTTTATTGAGACTAACAGTAGATCAAATAAATAAAGTTTATTCACCTTAATTCGTTTTAGACGATTCAAATGCCAGTCCCTATATCACTTAACGTATGCCATGTAACCCAAAGGCACTCGCGGCAATGTGAAGCAGTGGGTAACATGTCGAGATTAACCGTGATTGTTCGAATTCCACCTGGGGTGCTGATGAGACCAAGGCGATGCCTTAACTGCAGTCCACCCTGGATGAGCATAGCTTTCGGAAAGCAATACTGTGAAATTTAATGGAAACATAAGATCTACACAATACATTGTGGGAGAATTCAACTACCAGTCACCTTATAACCTTATATGTCGATCTTTCATCACCTTATGCAACTTATGTTGACAGATAGTCTTAAAACTTACCGACTATGACAATTCGATGTGAGAAAGGTCTGGTTTGTCTTGAAAATCACATATGCCCTGCAATCCATATACCCCTATAAAACTGTGACCTAGTGGCAACATGTCGCGACTATACAATGCACTAACATGGTTAGATTCCCGTTTGAGGTAATGATGAGATCCAGATGTAGTCAAGAAAGCAGTCTAGTCTGAATGATGAGACCCTATAAGAGGCAAGACTAAGCGAAATTCAGTGGCATCTCGAGGCCTAATCATTTCATTGCTGGAAAAGAAAACAGTTCTTATTCAAGATCTACTGGTAGTATCGAAACCTTTTTAATACGAATATAAAGTTTAGACTAGAGTAGTCGATTTGGGTAATAATATTACAGGCATTAAAAAAACAGGATTGTGTTCTTACAAGACGTCAAATTACCACCAAGTTAAGAAGACTGGCCAAATCTATACTCATATTTAAAAAATAACTGAAAAACATTAATATAGACAAAATGATTTGGCTTGGCCACTTTCCGGTAAATCTGAATACTTTGCTGTGCTATTTGTTATACATCGAATCACCAAGATGCATCCATTTAGCCAGTGCTCAGTAATTTCTTATCTCGAGCACAGCTTTCATCCAACCGACCATTTGCCTCTTCGCCCCATCTCTAACCTGAATAAGGTCGGCGGCTAAGTCTTTAGAACCGTTGGTTAAATCCACTCCATTTATGGCCAGGATCCTGTCGTCCTTCATAAGACGCCCGTCCCGTGCAGCCTCACAGCCGCTGACCAATTCGAGCACGTAAATTCCAGAAACATGACTGTAGAAGAGAAGAGAAAATGAAGTCTAAGACAATAGTAAATCATCAAGATGCACAAGATCTACTCTGACTGCAATAAATTAAATTACACAAGTGACTTGGCAATGGAAAACAATAAATTAACAGAAGTTGGCTCATAAAAACATCTTCGAAAGCATAGGACTGAGCTTAAAGAGCTATTTCTAAAAGGTCAATAGTAGAGAAGGTTTCGTATAGCATGCAAGTTGATTAAGTATGAATCATCCCATTCCTCTGATGGCTTTTAGAGGAAATATTCGAAATATAATAACCTCTGGTAGCAGATATGATGAAAATGGTTCTATCTTC